TGACAACTGAAAATACGATTTCAAGCACGCTGTATTATGTTCCTAACTGTACGTACGAGACGGGCGTCGTCTCAAATACAACTAAGCTATTTATTCACGTAATGAAATCATAACAGTTAAGAAGTAAATTCTGAACGACTTGAATAGTGATTACCTATAATACAACCCCCACCCCACCCCACCCCGTTTCCTTATTTTCATTCTTTGTGTCTGGTATGTTGCTAGGAGATTACACAGGCATGTAATGCATAAAGTGGCACATGTCCACCGCTGTTTCCTTTGCTAGAGAAACGCACGTAGTTAAATCCATAGCGCGATGTATTTGGTACGGATATACAAGATTTACAGCGGTAAACAGAATAGATCCATGATGTCATATCGATTTTAAAACCTCGATTTAATGATAATTAAGACTGCCTCCAGCATCCACGTGTCAAATACGACGTCAGAGTCTCTAGTAATTAGGTCAATTAACATTGTTTGTGGTTGTAGCGGATGTTTAACCCAATATACGAGCGTGAGTAGTTATAAAAAATTCTTCAAGCATTTCGGTATAGTTTATTTTGCGAGAAATCCAGAAAATGGCGAACAATTGACGTCTACTGTGACAATCACGGGAAAATAAGAAGAAGGACTTCGTGTGTTTGTTACAGGGGCTTACAAAGGGCAGTAAATGTTAGACGCCAAGCAGGGCAGGGGTGTCCTCAGCCATGGCCTCATCTGACATGACAAACCCATTTTAAAACAATAATAACACTAATATAAGATGGCTGTCTTCTGGGTTGTAGCGCTGTAGAGTCTGGTAGAAGATTACCAATGTTTCAGAAGTCCTTGCTGCATCCATCATCGCCCTGACGACTTAATGAGCTTTTCGTCCCTTAGACAAGTACAGGTCTTCTGATGTCACTCCTCATAAAAACGGAAATAGTCCTATAACATTTTGTAAAGACTACTAATATCAAATTTAATCAAAATCTGTCAAACAGTTCTCAAGTTGAAGCATGTGGACAGATGGATGGACGGACAGACATAACGACACGATCTCCCATGTACATATTCTGTTTATACAAGTCAGGCAAAGAACGCATACAAATTAACAAATCATAACCACAATTTAGTAACACCCAAGTAAATTATTATTGTTACCCTATCCTGCACCAGTTAAAACTGTCCATACACTCACGTCTCGTTTCCTTAAAATCCATTTTAATATTATTCTCCTACCTGCGTGTAGGTCTTCCAAGTAGTGTCTCCAGAAACTATAAACAGTACAAATTTTCCAACAGAACATTCGGTACTTGGTAAAAGAAAAGTAAGCATGGAGGCTAAAAGAAATACAATAAAAATAGTACTGAAGATGGAGGCAGTAAGGTACTCCGAAACGTTGGAATCTACTTTACAAGACAGAAAGCCAAGATTGACAAACAAAAGACTGTGCAGACACAGAATGAGTGAGATCAAACATAATTCTTTGAGGAAAATCGCGCGTGAGGCTGAAACTGCTCCATCGTCCTACCACGACTGCAGTTCAATTAACACGCGTCTTAATCATCATTCTGTCACACACATTCGGAGGTTTTACACGTCACACCAACTTTGTTTGCTACTTACTTGGGGTTTAGCATCGTGGCAATTTTCCGGCGCCGGAGTTGCTGACCGATTATTCCTATCAGCGGGGCAGCAAAGCCACGATCGTCCCCAAGAGACACAGCCCCCGCCGTAGTGATGCTTACGTCTTTTGAAAATTTCACAATGACAATCAAATAAAAAAAGCAGCCTTATAATTTAAGACGTAAAACGCACACAAACACACATCCACAAGTAAAACACTTCACTATCACAGCAGAACACACACGCTAAACACCAAAACACTAATATTCCATGGGCCTTTTCTCCAGCACGTTAATTTCTGGTCTAATTATCATCTAATTATCAACGCTGAAAGTAAGGACTGTAACGGATACGTCACCAGCACGTCCTGTCTCCATATTGCTCGTGTGTAACATGCCTCATACAATTACATCTACATTAACTTTCTAATTCCCTTCTTCGAGAGGTCTTTCATGATTTATATCACCAAAAAATCCCATATCGTTTCGTTCCAGGGACCTGCCACGCTCGAAGTCCAGAATTCCTGGATCAACCACTCTGGGCCAAAGTCCGACATAGACTAAATTATCAGCAAAGCAGCTGCCTAAAAGACGTGCTACGCCGGACAAACACGAATCCACCCGAATGTGGAAAAGCGATAAGCATCTATATATATATATAACCTCGAACATTTGAAGAAACGGAGAAAATGAGAACAAAAATGGTCCATATTTGCGAGATGACAGATTAATACGTGCGTTTACGAGCATCTTATTTTAAACACAAATCTAATTCTTACCCTCGACATCACTGAAGGGACGATGACGTTAGCCCAACGCGTTCGAAAATTGTTAACTACCATTAAAGCACCGTACTATAACCACCACTAGAATTTTAAATAACTCGAGGATAAACCTTGAGAAGCTTCGAGATCCTCAGCTAATCAGGAAATTGCCGAACTTTTATGGAACTTGAAGGTTACATTACCCTGTTCACAACAGCCCAACACTGGATCATATCGTAAGCCACACACATCCTATTTATTTAAGAAACATTTTAATATGTCGTCTCACGAACGCTTTTCGACAGTTCGTCCAAGGATTCGCAGTTTTAGAACTGATTCCAAAACGAAACGGTACACAGGACCGGGCATAATCCATCAAATACAGCGTTCCTCACATATATAAGTGAAACTCATATAGCAGAATGAACGTAATTTTTCCACCCATTCAAATCAAAATCTCATTTAAATAACATTTAAGAATTCAGTCCGTACCGCAAAGAAAACACAACTCTTTACCATTACAAAGATCAACTGGCGAATCTGACTAATGCTGTTTAGGGTGAGAATCGATACAAAACCCATAAAAATGACGAATTATAAGCAGGTGGGGCTCTAGATTTAAAAGGGTTAATCGAAACAATAAAAATTGTATAAACTTATCAACAAAACGTGCTCTAAACCACGGAACACAGTTACGTGGGCCAGAACTCTGTATGCACCCCTCCTAGCGTCAGATTGAGAGGGTAACTCAGCGCCCCTATTAGCTGTAGACACATCGCCAGATTAATCTCACTGGATGACCCTCACGTGTCGTATCCCCCCACCCCCACTCAGTACCCTTATCATCGGTGTTTGCGATGACCCCAGTGGATAATACATCACTGTCACCTTGTTCAGACTTACTTCGTACTAGTGAACCAGTATTTTCTAGGAAGCAACCACCCCTCTACTTTTCTTCTGCAATTTCCCCTACCACCAACTGGATGAATTGTCTTTCTAAATTGTTAAGAAAGACACGAATAGCGGAACACTTAACACAGTGTGATAATATACACACATCTTTCATGCATCGATTTACGAGAATATCAAATCGAATTATATATAAGAACTGTTGTTATTTAATTAATTACTGTTCTAGACTGTACTATGACATAACATTAATTAAAACGACTGAGAATTACACACGAGAAAATTCACATATCGTCAAACTCAAACTCTGTCAATGGATTCAAAACACGCAAGTAATTAACTCCTGGGACGCTGATAGCTTCTCACCTAGTCAACAATATACAAGCCTTTTATGAAGTTCAAAAGTTCATTACCGTGTTCACAAAAGTCCACCAGTCGATCCTAACCTGAGTCACATAAATTCCTGTAAAAGCTAATTTAAACCCTTAAGTAAAATTATAATTAATCAATTAAAATTTACGTAAATCAAGATGGCACACATAACATCAAGTCACAACAGAATCTATCAAATAAGTTCAACTGAGTCTTCACGCAAATGCGTTTTTAAAATAAGTTTCGAGGCAAATAACACACACACTAATAATAATTGCACACGTTTCCTATATAAACCACACAAACTTCTTTCAAAGCAGTCGAAAATAAGCTTAGAAGTTGTTACGTCACTCACGCACGTCGGTGATTAGAATCGATCAAAGTGAATAAAACATGGCGTATAAATATCTCATAGTATAATCAAAATGCCAAACGACTCAAAATACGAAAGCAAAAGTTCATGCCAAGTTTGATCCAACTCGGTCTCATAGTTTGGGGTCCTATCACATGACGAAACAAACATGTGGTTTGCTATTAATTTTTTCGAAACTCACGTAAAAGTGTAGAAAAACGTGTTTCAACTTTCGAGCATTAACGACAAAGCTTCTTTAATTTGGTGTGATTAGAATGAGCATTTTATCCACGCATCTGTAATTGTACAACTCTCTCCAGCAGTCTACAAGCAGACTATGTGGCTCATATTTACGTCACATTCAAATAATGGTTGCCACACGCACCCCAACTCTGAAAGTAAACGACACAATCTCTTTCACCGACCTTATCGTCTTCACGAGGTAATGTCATCTGAAGACATAAATTCTTTGCAATCTCCCATTTCTCCCCGGATTCATTCTCTTTCTTTCCTTCCCACTTAATTTGTTCCCTTCGAAATACCTCCTTTTATCACACCACTTCATCTGTCCTCGGATTTCCTTCTCTTGGAAGCGTTCAACTGCCGATTCTTCCAGTTTCCGGCAAAGTTCCCTACGTTGACGCCTTTTAATTAATAACAGCATTTCTCGAAAACGAAGAAATTTACTAGGCTTCGTCTATAAATGACCCACTCACTCTATGACACATGCTACTCTTTAAAAATGCACGTGGTTTCACGGATGACGCAAAATGTGATCGCTTTATGCATTAAACGAAACGATGATGACCACAGATCGCTTTAAAGACTGAGAGCAGTTACGGTAGCCCAGGAACTGGACCAGGGTTGGGGAAACGAACGACGCGGGAGAAACCAAAGTATTTTACACTGTGCAGTCTGTAAGACATCCACATCTCACCAGATCAGTATCTCCGTTCGGAGACCACGTGATAAACTATAGTACAAGAACCTTACCTTATTGGCGAGATCAAACATGTTGCCCGTGGCACCAGACGTGAGCAGCGAACCCCCTGCTGCTTCGACCAGTTTCTGGAGGGTGTGGGGCTCTGGGCTCAAGTCGCGGGCACCGGAATCAAACTCCCAACTTTCGTGAAGTTTTCCGCCCCCTGAGGTCGCCCCTAACATTTAAAGAAACAACGGTGTTGGCTGTCACGTGCTGTATGCATTCCTCATCTCTCTGCATGTGCTACATGTCTCGCCCATCACGCTCTCCGTGATTTCACAACCCTATCCACTTTCCTGTCACTGCATTCGTCATAGATTCAAATATTCTCCTAAACACCATGTTTTTAAACATTAGTGTTTTTCCCTTAACGTTACAAACCAATTTTCACCACCATACAAAACAATAGGCAAAATTATAATTTTTTGTTTGCACACGGGAAGACAAAAATTATGAACCGCATGATAGCAAAGCATTCTCTGAAAAAAATCATCTCTTAATTTCCTCGTAAACAAAATCTTGATTATCTCCCACAATCTCGTTACAAACAGCTGGCAGAACAGAACTCATAGGAAAAAAACATATTCTGTAAAACTGCTTAGCATTTAACCTATAATCATCAATCTGTGGTGAGTCATGTACATTCGTGTCCCATAACATTGGGAACTGGATAATTTGTAGATACACTGTTCAAGAAAGGAAATTCATCAAAACAGTTCAGTTCGCCGTGCTATAGCGGCAACTTCTCTGCCTTGGCTGTACGCCTGATAGTCTAATCGGAACATTTCAGGCGCAAAGTCTTGGTGCAAGACTCCGTTATGTTTCGCTATAAATCCTGAAGAATGCAACTCGCTGAAATGTCCTAAAACCAATTACTGACTTTTTAAAGTAAAATTCTTGACCAGAACTGTACACAATGGTTAAATATTCCCATTACAAACACAAAATAAACTAGATTAATAAATAAAGTTATTAAAGTCGGATAATTAATTTCTGTATTTGCATAAGGATAAAATGAGACTGAAGATGTTAGGGAGACAATCAGCGCGAGCCTGATAACAGAGATGGCAGGTATCACATGAAATCCGCAAATAAAGAAGTTATTGACTGTCATTACCAAGGCTGTTATCACTGCTTGTCGGCAGGTACTCGGGAGTTCCCCGGCAGTGGGCCTGAGTACCCACACCCTCGCTTCCTCTCAAGGCATCTATTTCAGGCCGTAAAGCCAATCTCCTTCTCAGAAACTCTTGGTAAGAAATTCGTCCCTGCTCATCAGCTCCAAGTTCTCGCATCAATTCTTCCAGACAGTCCTCAAGATTCAACTCTCGACACACCGTCAGCAGGTCCTGACTGAAAAGGACATTTTTCTTCTTAATTTTTGAAGTTTGTAAACATGCTTCTCTCTCTCTCTCTCTCTCTCTCTCTCTCTATATATATATATATATATATACAGCCCTAAATTAAGTCCAGGATGTTTTGCTATAAGGACATTAGCACCAATCATGAAAATAGAAACTTTAATAATAGTCTATTTTGTTTACTTCCATTCCTTTTATATCATATGGAATAATACTCTGGGGAAATTTAAACACGCACCGGAATCAAACTCCCAACTTTCGTGAAGTTTTCCGCCCCCTGAGGTCGCCCCTAACATTTAAAGAAACAACGGTGTTGGCTGTCACGTGCTGTATGCATTCCTCATCTCTCTGCATGTGCTACATGTCTCGCCCATCACGCTCTCCGTGATTTCACAACCCTATCCACTTTCCTGTCACTGCATTCGTCATAGATTCAAATATTCTCCTAAACACCATGTTTTTAAACATTAGTGTTTTTCCCTTAACGTTACAAACCAATTTTCACCACCATACAAAACAATAGGCAAAATTATAATTTTTTGTTTGCACACGGGAAGACAAAAATTATGAACCGCATGATAGCAAAGCATTCTCTGAAAAAAATCATCTCTTAATTTCCTCGTAAACAAAATCTTGATTATCTCCCACAATCTCGTTACAAACAGCTGGCAGAACAGAACTCATAGGAAAAAAACATATTCTGTAAAACTGCTTAGCATTTAACCTATAATCATCAATCTGTGGTGAGTCATGTACATTCGTGTCCCATAACATTGGGAACTGGATAATTTGTAGATACACTGTTCAAGAAAGGAAATTCATCAAAACAGTTCAGTTCGCCGTGCTATAGCGGCAACTTCTCTGCCTTGGCTGTACGCCTGATAGTCTAATCGGAACATTTCAGGCGCAAAGTCTTGGTGCAAGACTCCGTTATGTTTCGCTATAAATCCTGAAGAATGCAACTCGCTGAAATGTCCTAAAACCAATTACTGACTTTTTAAAGTAAAATTCTTGACCAGAACTGTACACAATGGTTAAATATTCCCATTACAAACACAAAATAAACTAGATTAATAAATAAAGTTATTAAAGTCGGATAATTAATTTCTGTATTTGCATAAGGATAAAATGAGACTGAAGATGTTAGGGAGACAATCAGCGCGAGCCTGATAACAGAGATGGCAGGTATCACATGAAATCCGCAAATAAAGAAGTTATTGACTGTCATTACCAAGGCTGTTATCACTGCTTGTCGGCAGGTACTCGGGAGTTCCCCGGCAGTGGGCCTGAGTACCCACACCCTCGCTTCCTCTCAAGGCATCTATTTCAGGCCGTAAAGCCAATCTCCTTCTCAGAAACTCTTGGTAAGAAATTCGTCCCTGCTCATCAGCTCCAAGTTCTCGCATCAATTCTTCCAGACAGTCCTCAAGATTCAACTCTCGACACACCGTCAGCAGGTCCTGACTGAAAAGGACATTTTTCTTCTTAATTTTTGAAGTTTGTAAACATGCTTCTCTCTCTCTCTCTCTCTCTCTCTCTCTCTCTATATATATATATATATATACAGCCCTAAATTAAGTCCAGGATGTTTTGCTATAAGGACATTAGCACCAATCATGAAAATAGAAACTTTAATAATAGTCTATTTTGTTTACTTCCATTCCTTTTATATCATATGGAATAATACTCTGGGGAAATTTAAACACACAGAAAAAAGTATTTTATGTCCAAAAGAAAATCATTAGAATAATGGCGGTCGTTAAAAGGACAGTCTCGTGTAGAGAATTATTTAAAAAGTTGAATATTCTCCCACTAGCCAGGAAATTTATTTTTTATTTTTCTCATTTGCTGTGGATAATATTGAAAAAATTTCAAACAAACTCACATGTGCACAATATAACTTTAAGATGAAGGCAAAACCTTCACGTGCCAAAACGCTGACCTCAGCAAATATTAAAAAGGAATTAAATTATTCAATAAACTTCCTTCTACTACAAAAAGTTTAAATCATGACATAAATGTATTTAAGCCAGCACTGAAAGAGTATCTGCACAGTAGAAGCATTCACTTGCATGGTCTGAGGCATCGTGCTTCGGACCGGCGAAACGCAATGCGCATTAGTTCGAGTCTCGGAGGAGAAGAAATTTTCTCATGAGCTTTCGACCGGTGTATGGGACCTGTTCCAACCCAGCATCGTGAGGAAATCGGGGAGCTACAATGAGTAGCGTAATCCGGTCAGGAAAACTAGCGATGGCTGGGGGTTCGTCGTGCTGACCACACGTCACCTTATATCTGGTCGGATGATCGTTCACCTCTGCTTCAGCGTGTGAACCTGAGGCCAGCAGTCAAGCTAGTCGGCTTTGGCTCTCAGAGGGCTGTTACGCCATGGATTATTATTATAAATACATATAATAATGGTGATGATTCCTTTATGTAATTACTTTACTGTTATACTGCATTATATCAAATATGTCTGTAAATATCTGTTAAACTTTGTACTTAAACTATTATATTGTATTTGCCTTAAGACATATTCTACATCCTTGGCTTAGACCTATGAAGGATCTATGGAATGTAAATCATTTCTATCCTATTCTATTTACTTACAAATGTTTATCTTCTCTTCTCCTCTGGTTACCCATTAAGTCACTGGCAACTTTAGATTAAGTTACGTGTAGTTGGTGAAAATTTTGTAGACTAGCTGCTGGCTACTATCTTCTTATGGACTCTGCTCCACAAAGTAATTTACCTATTCTCTGGTTATTTTCATTTACTTTAAGTTTCTTTAAACATAATTAATTTCCCTAAGCTGGCAACATTCCCATGATATGCACTTGTAACTCTAATTTTATGCAAGAAGGAAGCAATAAATAAAATGCCGGATAAGGTCTTTCTTGAACAGTTAATTTCTATACAGCTTCAAATAAAATCACTGTCGCTATTAAATTTAAAAACTGCCACTACAGGGCCAATCCCATTTAATTCAATCCATATTCTCAAAGCTTACTTTCCGGAGACTAAATCTTAATGTTGTCCCACTTTCACCTTGGTCCCAGGCAGGTTCATGTAGTGTTAACTTGTATGGAAAGTATTCAGTTCTCATTCCAGCCAGACTATCAACTCTCTTAAATAAATGTTCTTTTAATATCTCTGAGTTCACATTTTGCCTACAGTTATCAGCTCAACATAAACAAATGTTACCTGTCTAATCCTCCTAATGGAAAAGTAGATCAGGTTTTGCTTGCCAGTGCAAGATCTAATATAATCTGTTTTAATTTACTTAATGCAATTGGTCACTGTCTTAAATGTACACCACCATCTTAACTTCCGTATTTTAAAAATCATAACAATATTTGTGAAATACACAAACAATGAAATTCTGAATCAAGCCACAGCTATGGGAAGAATGTTCACACTTGTTTAATTTCTGCAGATCATGTTAACTAGCAAATAACTTCCAGAAATGTCTACACACTGGACTGAAAAACTCCAAACCAGTACATAACAAATATAAGAAATTAATAACAATACTAGAACTTCAAGATACTGTCTTACATACCTGTCAATATACCCATCTCCATCCCCATCACACGCTTGGAAAAGTTTTCTAACTCTTTCTTCATCACACACAGAACTTGCATCTTCACTGCCTCCAAATATCTCAGACTGTTGTTCTAAATTGTCTGCCATTATCTCACCAGAGTTTAATCTTCCACTATTGAGTCTTTACTAATTCAATAACCGTCACGATCTGCACATATGTTCGCATGTTAATCATTTTGACATACATAACCTCACTCAGACATATTTCTGGCGCTGGCTCCAACAGTTAAATTCTTCTATTTAAATGAGCAGTCAGAGTGAAGTTAGTGCTATGAATTATATCCATTAATTATTTTTCTTATTTTAAATTTTACTTATACAACAGTTCTGCTGAAATTAGTATGAACGTTTTTGCATCAAACTAGACTGTTACGTTCCACTGCTTACAAACTTTAACGATTGTTGTAAATTAATGTTAATTAAATATTCTGAACTTTGAAAATACATCTTGTAACAAGATTAAAGGTATTATTCAGCACAGTGTTCACTCTGACATACCACACCTCTTCGAAGCCATGATTTAATTTTCTCATAGCCTTCTATATCTTGCACGTAGATCGGAGTGTAACAAACTTTTTTCGATGCTAGCTCAAATACAATATATTTCTACTTCCATGAGTACTATTCTCTGTAGACACAGAACCAAAGAACACACAAACGTCATCTGTTGTTGATATAACGACATTGGTGGTAGTTATCGATGCCATCAATGTGAATATATGATGGGTACTCAAACAACAGGAGTTAACTAGCTCAATAATGACTCGCGCAGAGAAGTAATACATGTAGGCCTAATAAAACGTGTTAATGCTCAATTACAGGCGCTACAAACGTAAACATATACTTTTGTATATACTCTTTCATTCCACCACCTCAAACTTTGTACAAATGTTTCTAGCCCAGAATGGTTACTTTATTGCCCCTTGCGTTTGATTTCAGCTAACTCCATGGGGCACAAAAATCCCTTCTTGAGAAGCTAATAGTCATGCTCAGTTACTCAGTTTGGCAAGAGATTCTTCAGGTTAAAACTACAATATTGTTCATATCTAATATCACTTTTACCTTAGTCTTCTTCTCCCGTTTCTATCACTGCTTTCTTTTGATGTGGGCTGACAGACGTACATAAACTAAACACTGAAAACAACAACTCAAAAATCAAGTATCTAACAATTTATGTTACCAACATAAAAATAAAATAGTTTCATAATATGAATTACTAATTATTACAGCAGCAAAATAAATACTAAAATAAATAATTTCATTTGACTTTTATTGCATTCTTGATATTATATCCATAATTTAATAAAAGGCAAGTGATTAATTTGTAACAAGGATTATGAAGTGCTTACTTCTTAAATATTTCCAGGGGCAGAAAAAGCATGACATCTCTACTAATCAGCAGTATTTCATTTGTCATATTTATATCTTTCCAGTTATTACATTAAAAATACATTTAATTGTCAAACAATTATTAAAAGCTGTTGTATAGTTCACACTACAATTAATTATGCCATAAGAGCAAAAAACTGTTTACATTAACACCAGGATGACATTTACCAACTCAAACACCTGACTACACTCATAACACATAAACTTCCCTGTGCGGGATTAACTACTATTTTAAAAATACAAAGTGTCTTGTGTCTCAGGTACAGAATTTATCTTCAAAAAGAAAGGACCCGCACAATTGTTTCAACATCATAATGTACATTACTGGCATTCTTTGTGGTACAGTAAAACATGGGGAAAAAATTGTCTACACTATCTACGAGGAAGGTGAGATTTCCGGTTATGCAGATATAAATCTTTTGGCAAATATGAAAGTTTTGTTATTTGGGGATAAACAATATATCTTAATAAAATACTGATACTGTAACAGGGAAAATGAGACGTTTCATTGTCAGACAGGTTAATGATACATTTCGCTTCTTTCACGAAGAGAGAAGAAATGCAAGTACAGCCTTCTGATGAACTCAAGATCTTATTCTTCCAGTGACATAGTTTTTTCTGAGATTATATGCCTTACTAACCCTGACATAAACAGTAACTTCTTTACAGTATCCTGCATTACAGAGTTAGCAACACAGCACCACAATGCTACAGTTGCACACTTTACAAGAGTTAAAAATACAAAATATTATAATAAAGATGTGAACATACAAGGATAGTTGGTCTTAAAATAAATTTGCATTGCAGCCCTATGGTCTGTGACACAACGTAATTCTGTACAGATTTAAGGTTTCAGATTAACATACTGCATCCATCTTCTGGGTAGATCTATCACATTCCTGAAACACTGCCAACATAAACAAGACTGCAGGGTTTCACAATTCAGAAGACCACAATCCACTGTAAAACCTCAGAATACCATATTTAAATAAATTACTTGTTTTCTAAATGTCTGTTATGAAACCTCTTTTATATTACTCAAAATACTGATTGCTGGGAAAAATTCAGGCAACACATTCCTACTAAAATAAATTAATGCCAACAAACATTAATTTAAAAATGTTTGCAGCTGCTAATGAGGAAAGTTCTGGAAACCTGCAGCTATAATTTTTGGCCATCTTCACTGACAAATCAAGTCACACACAATTAAGACACAATTATTGCTATTAAAAGTTATAAAGGTTCATCTTGCTAATTCAGTTATATACCATGATAATCTCAGTTACAAATCTAATTAAAATAGTTCGTGATATTTTCTTCCCCTGTGTGTTCCATATAAATGTAAATCTAGCTATGAATTTAATTCAAAGGAGTATTTTCAAAGACTACCTGATTATTGTCATGATGAAATTTCTAAACTGTGGTCACTTGATATAATGGATTTTACAATTTCCCAAACCATTTTACTACATTAGACAAAATCATAAATCATCTTTATTATACTACACTATGTTCTGAAGTGATACAATGTCATAAGCAAATACAGTAAATGCCTCATCAATTCAAACTGAACAAGAAAGTGGAACTGATCTTCATGTTACTGGGAGCTTTTGGTATATTCTTTATATTTTTACATGATGCCAACCTTGTTTCACTGAATGAGTAGTGTGTACAGAGAAGGAAAAATGGATGAATGAGGAAGGGGCTGGCAGGGATGCACAATCACAACGATCAAGAATCCTCTGGAAAATTACTGGTCACATCTCCCTTGCAAAACATTATTTTCAGTTCAGTGACAGTTCACAGAACGCATATTTTCCCGCAGAAAAATACTCCCTCAAATTTCCCCTTTTCCTTTAAACAAACTTATACTAACGAAGTTCACGACCGTTTTCAATTCATGAAATACATACAATGTTAATACAGAACTACACAGATTTACCACAATATTATCAAGACATGAAGGTAGAAGATCCATGCACTCAACGGATCAATTTGATGCTACAGCCAGCTTCATCATTCAGAAAAAGTATCACCTGATAGCAATTTCAGGTTTAAACTGTTTATTCTCCTCATTTTCAAAAATCTTCTCCACACAGCTCATGTGTAACCTGGATTGAAAGTTGAAGCCTCGAATCAACGCAGAAAATGGTCCACCACGTTTAAATTTAAAATGTAGGCACTAGCTAAAAAAGGAACCAATTTTCATTTGGAACTAATGAGATGGTATGATTTACATATTTACGAACATGATTTTGTTACTCCCAATATATTTTCCCAGACAGAAGTACATGAAAATAATAAATGCTGTATAAGCTAGTGTGAGCATTATGTTTTCTGGATCTTGCCTGCTAGTAGATCCACTAGCATCATGTTACATAACGCTGAATGCAACTACTTACCCGAATGTGCTACAAAATTTGTTGGAACCGGAATAGAGATCAAGAATAACACATGAGTTTCAAATAAAGTGTTATCAGTTAACAATTTCTCCTCCTGATTCTGATACCCATTTACCAATATCCCATAAACATTTTTAATCATCATATACCAATATCTAATTCTTGTACCAAATTTTAATTAAAGGGTATAATGAATGGTCGCCGATGTTCATAAAAATTGCAACGTAAAGGAAAGTCAACAACTAAACATGTAAGGCAAATAAATTTCACTTGTCCACTTTTGATTGTGCAATATGCACAGTTTTGTATACTAAAAGTACAAACTACATAACATTCAGAATAAAAGGAACATGGAAAATTTAAATTTGATAAACCATCATCCTTTTTTGGAAAACAAATGGGTGCAGTTCTCATCACTGAATTAATAAAATAACCAGAAATTATTAAATGTATTTACTGTCACTTTTCACTTATATGAATATCCTGACCACAATATATTAAGAGTCCACTACATTAAATTTACAATAAAATCAATTTCTTATATAAAAATTCCAGTCCTTATTCTTTGCAGCTGGAGTTAATGTATACCTCTGGCTTTCAAGGATAAGCTACGTTGACTGCCGACGGTTTCCAGAAACCATTTAACAAACTGGAATCCCACCTGACATTCAACATACATCTCTTCTTCTTCTATGGCCTCCTCAATTTTCCTCTTCCATTCGGTCCTCTGTTAGGTCTGTCTGTCCGAGGCTTTGATTGAGGTTTCGAAACATCTTCCTTTTTATGGTGCAAGGTTGTTAGCCTTGCGACCAATCCCTAACCTGGAGGACCAGCTAGTGTATATTACAGACACCAAAATGGAGTACCAGCAATCATCAAAACATTAGATAAACTTTAAGAGACAACTTTGCTTATCTTTGAAGGCCAAAGACTTACATTCTTATATAAAAGATTCATATTACATATAGCAAAGAAAATGCTATATTCCCCATGCAAAATTAATAGTAACATCCGACTAGAAAAAGAATATTTCTTTACATATTAATTTTACAAACTTATGTAAACCTTATAATTAGCACATGTCAAGTAGCACCATCAACATTAGCCTATATCTCTCAGATAATATAAACATAAAGATGTGTTATTTACATTATTAAAAATACAGCTTGCCTTTCAATTTGTGCATCGGCTACAACACAACATCAGTTGGTGATATCTCACAGATGAAAAAGTTAATAGAAATAGTCCATCCAGTTAATCTATTTTTTAATAATTAAAAATTGCTATGAAGTTCTGTTTAAATTTGTATTATTATATTTAATTATCATGAACCATTAATACGAATTTTTAACAGCAACGAGTGACATAAAATACTGTAAACACAAATGAAAGAATCAAATAAGAGAAATAAATTAACAAACATGGTAAGTCAGTAAGTAAGCCGAAAGTAAAACCACACACAGATTTCCCGCAATATGCGATCATTTGTTAGTACTAGCTGGCGTCACCTTCCAAGGCTCTAACCGCAGACTCAAATTTGTTCACAAAACAAGCCACGAAGAAAAATATTCTTTCAAGGACCGACAACTATGCCGCAAACACACGTACAAGGAAATATTACCCGTATAAGGCGAGACGTATTTACTGAATGCAGTTATCCACAAATGATGCACAAACTTTTCTCATGCTCACAAGTTGGTAAAAAATAATGCAAGAACAGTAATACCAACACAATTGAAATTGGAAGTACTGGATTGAGCAGACTGACTGGCATTTTATAATACATTGAAAAATGTTTTACATTCTCATGGCTTGTCCTTATAGTGTTTGCTATGAGCGACTCCAATTTCACAAAGTGTGCACTCACAAATTACAAAGTATCATAGTAGCTTTGAAACTTCCCATGACGAGCTGCACAGAACCGCTACAGCTAATGAGACCTGGATTTATCACTTTCAACATGAATTCAAATGTAAGATTTGAGGTTTTCACAGCGGTAAGTATGAAGATTTCTGTCTTCTGGGTTGTTGCGCTGTGTAGTCTGATCGATGTTAACCAATGTTTCAGATGATGATGAATCGCCCTGATGACGGAGGCAGTATGACCTCTGAAACGTTCGTTAACATCAACCACACTACACAGCGCAATAACCCAGAAGACAGAAATCTTCATGAATTCAAATGTGTCAGTGCAACATAAAGATATTAGATCATTCATGTTCAAAAGCTGTACCGTCAACTGGGAAAGTGATGGTTACAGCCTACAGAGATGGTTTGTGATGTACCCCTGAAATGTTTACAGGCATGGAGAGAGTAATCCTGACATTTTCCCAAGCAATTTCCCCCCTTTTGGCCTGTTAAACAATCAATTATCTTGATAACAAATGCTTTGTTTGCAACACAAAAATGAAAACTGCTCCAGGATGATAGATCTGATGGCAGACAAAGACTTTCTATACACCAGGGTTTCATGCCCCAGACGAAATATGGGACAGCTGCTTTAAACTGCAGTAAATGCTTTTTATGTAGATAAATAACAAGACTGGGAAGGCGTACACTGACATTCCGAATGTATTAAACCTGTTCCAACAACGTCCTTCAGTCCTCGTTGTGCTAACGTGTTTCGATGTCGCTGACATGCGACAGTGAGTCCCAACAACGTCGGTACCCACTGTTGTGAAACACTGACACTGATCATGTGGGATGCCTACCTCTTAGAAAAAAATGTGACAGAAACTAACACAGATGAGCCCATAAAGCGTTCTTTACCCACGCTGGATCACCTAAAGAGTTAAGTTTCCACCCATCTGCACAAAAGTATATTTTCCATTGAATTCGCAACTCGGTTACTTACTCACTGACTTTCCCTCACATTTCCATCATACATATAATGAGTATAATTCTAGTAGTTTGTCTGAGATACTTAAAATTATTTTAAAAAAATTACACAGCCTACAATCATGAATATTTGTATACATGGTCTTTAAGGCTTTATACGGGAGCTTTATGGAAAACATAGCTTTCATTTCTTAAAACTCCAGAACTTGAATAAATTCGGTACGGTCTCGAAGTATGTTATAATTTAGCTGATACCGTTGAATTTATAAGAATAAATGTATTTTGTTCAAATCAAATGTCATGAATGAAAGTTACTGACTGCAGTCAAGTAGTTCCAAATCAGTTTTTCAGAATAATTTTTCGAACTGACTTTAAGCCTTCACAATCATTCAGTTAATGCTGATTCTACTTTTGAGTGCTGGCACCCAAAAATAAATTAATTTCATTATGGCAGAGAAATCAAATATTGAAACAGCTTAGATTTTTTATGAGAAAGAACAACAGAAGGCATATTTATCTATTCCTAAACTGGAATGTGGTATAAAAAGCCATCTTCATGGCTGCTCTGGATTATAACAAAGGTTTGTGATGCAAGGACAATACCAACCTATTTTAGAACAAGCTTTAATTAAGTTATGTATAATTCAGAAACTGCTCTTGAAATATCATTAAAATTGAAGATTGCCGTCTTCTGGGTTATTGCGCCGTGCAGTCAGATAGATTTCCACCAACCTTTCAGAGGTCACACTGCCTCCGTCATCACCCTGATGATAGACGCAGTATGACCTGTGAAACACTGGTGGAAATATACCTGACTGCACGGCGCAATAACCCAGAAGACGGCAATGTTCAGGCTCACCGCTGTGAAAACCTCAAATCATACATCATTAAAATTGTATGTCTTTCTGATGGCAATTTGGATTTGAATAAATATTACTTGATGGAGTTAAAACAAGGCTTTTATAAACGTGTGTTACCAAGAAGTATTGTAAATTCGTTTTTAATTAAAATTTTCTTCGCTCTTAAAGTATTTCATGACAATTTAAAGCAAATGAACTAATGCAAGCGAGGCTACATGATTTTAAAATATTCATGTGAAATTAAATATTTAAACGTAGAGTTACATACACGAAAACAATTTATTCTAGATTAAATCTGTGCAGAACACTTTTCAGGCTGTCTTGCCTCTACCTGTACGCAGGACAGCACAACACAGAAAAAAGCGGACAAACATCCATGGCTTGAGTGGGATTCGAACCCACGGTCCCAGCGACCGAGCGGCAGAAGGCCCACGCCTCAGACTGCGCGGCCACTGCGGGCCCCCAATGACCACAATGGTAAATTAATATAATTTATGACCTCAATAATGACTGCAATAGGTGTACTTTAATTTCAACTAGTAACAATATTTTATATATTTTTGTCATCTGATCAGCATCTTAGTATCTGTTTTTCTTGCATTAATTTAACTGCATTCAAATAATCAAAATTATGAGCTAATGAAATTTGTTACGCTATTATTTAACATCTCAAATTACTTATAAATGTTGTGTTTTGATAGTATTATAATAATAATAATTCTCAAATACAAAAGAAATTAAAATTATATTTTCCATACACTGTACCGAAAAGGACCGCTTCATTGCCCCTAACTTTTCAGCAACAAAAATATTTATTCTCACAAAATTTATCCAAAACAGAAAGGCGAAAAAATACAGGATGAACAATATTTAGTGAACCAGCTGTTGAACGAAACACAACCTAAGAGGACACAGGAATGTCCATGGCTCTTCACAAAATAATATGGAAGAGTGATCACAGACGGAGTGGCTGTTACTGTTTTTTTTAGCAATCAGGGTTGAGGAACAGCAGCGTCTTCAGATTTGTCCTGTTCTTGAATTGTCAACTGGTTTTCTTCACGATGTTCGTTTCCGTCGGCTTCGTCCTCTGCCGTTTTAATTTCCTCTCTTATCTCCGCGGCGTGACTAATACCTGGAGAGTTGGAGAGAACGATGGTTTTAGAGTGCGATACATCACCAGAACCATCCTGAACTGGTGCTGCCACAATTACGCTTGTTTCTTCTGACTGTGCCGGACACTCAAAGTGAACACAGTGGAAAACCTGGAAAATATTTCAAGCACACTTCTATATACGAGTACCAAAGAAACCTAGCTGTCACACTCCTTTCTCCAGAAATTCCTGCTTTGAAAACCTGGCTGTATATTATTCTTAACCCTTGTTTGCTGAGGTGAATAAATGGATCCAACAGATGCACGAAATAACGAGCAGATGGACAAAACTGTGTAATGAGGAACTTCATAATTTTTATTCTTCACCAAGTATTACTAGGATAATAAAATGAAGGACAATAACATGGCTGGAACATTAAACATACAACAGGGAAATAGGAAATTCATTCAACATTTTAGTAGGAAAACCTGAAAGAAAGTGACCACTTGCAGCAAGAGGTTACATGGCACGATAAAATACGACGATTTTCACGCAGCTTATCACCCATAAAAGATGTGATAAAGTTTCACATAGCTCAAAAATTTGTATCTATTTATCTAAATTCACCTAATAATTGCACAAGTCATGTATAGTATTCTGTCAATCTCCTTCAGAAATTCTGTAAATGGTACCTCATTCGCTGTGTTGTGCGTTCCCACAATGCGAATAAAGACAACTGGCCTTGGTTCAAACTTCAACGTCTGCCAAGATCTGCAGATTTCGTGCGTTTTATCGACCACCAGTTCCCACTCCCACATGTTGACAGAGACCTCTACAAAGTAGCTGTAACTGCGATCATCGCAATCCCACAGCAGCAATCTAGAATGTTACAACAAAATAAAAGTATCAGAGAAAATGAACAATGAAGTCCTCATACTTCAAAGGACAAGTGCAACAGAAAAAACACATTTTCCAAATACATTCTTTGTGATTTTACAACCTCTGTGAACTTTCTAACTTTGGTCTGTCAATAAGCAAACAACGCACTTCATACTCTCCTTACTGGGATACTGGCAACGACCCGTTCTTCAAGTGCCTGAGCACTGCAGGTCCCAACGTTTTGTTGGCTTGATCTTTAGACATTCGGTAGGACTCCTTGGACGAGGGATCGGCCCGTCGCAAGGCCTCTACCTGTACACAGGACAGCACTACACAGAAAAACGCGGACAAACATCCATGGCTTGAGTGGGATTCGAACCCACGGGCCCAGCGACCAAGCGGCACAAGGCCCCCGTCTCAGACCGCGCGGCCACTGTGACCCCATACTCTCCTTAACACTAATTAATTATTTACTAATGTTAATAGTACAATATAACCGTGCGGCCACTGCGGACCCCATACTCTCCCTAACACTAATTAATTATTTACAAATGTTAATAGTACAATATGAATACACGGTTTACAAGATGTCCTGGCAGTTAGCAGCCATCCTGCATACACATCGTCAAAAGATTACAATATTTATATTATTTACATTTTACCTTATGGAACCAATCATGTAAGGCTGTCCTAGCTGGACCAAAATGGCTCCACTGCCCAGCTGATGGCATGTGTATCCTGAATCCCAATCATAGTTTTTCGTTTCTCCATTTAACAACATATTTCGACTGCGACTCACCCCTTCAATCACAAATGCACTCTTACTGATGGTAGCCACATTTTCCTTTGGTACTGAAACATAGCAAAGATGCTCAATAAGTACAGAAAAAATACAACACAAAACCCCATAATTTTCACAGAGTAACTATCAATGATTTAGATTAATTTTAATAAACTTCTTTTTATTCCCAATATCTTTTTAAACGTGTGAAACACAGCCAATCAGGTTCGTAGTGACGGTGATGCTGTTGTTATATTATTAGCAATGTTTTGTTTTTTGTGCTGTATCTGTAAGTGACCATTTGGCTGTTGTTAAAACAATAACAGTAATATCATCATCAACAGCATCTTCTATTTGTGCACAATGGAAAATTCCTGAATCAACAAAACCCAAACATAATACCACACTATAAAGGTGACGGTCCCGCGCCGTAGCAGCGCGGTCTGCGGCATCATGCTTTGGACCGGTGATACGGAATGCGTGCTGGTTTGAGTCTCGGGGAAAGAAATTTCTCATGAGTTTTACGACCTGTGTATGGGACCGGTGCCAACCCAGCATCGTGAGGAAATTGGGGAGCTACAATGGGTAGCGTAATCCGGTCATGAAAGCTAGCAATGGCTGGGGGTTCGTCGTGCTGACCACACGTCACCCTGTATCTGGTTGGATGATTGTTCACCTCTTCTTAGGCATGAACGTGAGGCCAGCAGTCAAGATAGTCGGCTTTGGCTCTCAGAGGGCTGTTACGCCACGGATTATTTATAAAAGTGACAGAACTGATACATTTTTTCCTGAACGAAAACTGCGCTACAAGCATTAAGCACGTGACACGAACTTACCAACAAGACCATTCTGAAGTTCAACACTGTTGTGTGTAAACATGGCTTCAAAGGACACAACATGAAACACCTTGTTCACAGTGTTATTCGTTCCAACGATGCGAATGTATCGGACGACACGAGGCTCAAAATACAAGTACTGCCAAGAGCGACAGTAAAAACGGGTATGCTCAATTACACGAACCCAATCCTTTTGGTCCACTGAGACTTCAATGTAATATGAGTAGGATCTGTAACAGAAAAATAGCAACATGTACAGTCTGTCAATTCTACGTTCGGACCTGCAGCACACGATACGGCACAACGCCCTAACACAGTTGGCTTCAAAAAATAATGCCTGAGCAAAAGTAATGACTTTCAGTACCTCAGATCCCTATCCCATAGTAACATTTTGATGTGATTGATAATGGCTTGCATTCCTAACTTGATCAAAATGCCATGGTCCCCCGACTCGTTGATCGTGTGTCTGGTGTAGCCTCGCTCCATGTCATAATTGTGGCTGTCTCCGTCCAGCAGAGCTGACCGCATCTCACCTTGCAACACCTGGGTTCCATGTCTTGGATGTGCCACATTCTTATCTGGCACTGCATCAAGACAAATAGTAATAAATACAGAGATATAATTACAAAAATTAAATTGTCTTTTGATGTCGGAGTTACTTGAACTTTCACACTTGACAATTTCAACATAATTTTAATGCAACTCCATATCCTCTTCAGTTTTCTCCCCTGTATCTTCTTTCCTTGTCACTTATTATTTATTCTATATTTATTCATACTTTTTCCTCCTTTCCATCCTTGAAAAACCCTCTCTGCTTTCACTTCAAAAACTGTTATATTGTCTTATTTCAAAATTGCCAAAAATCAGGATATACAAATAATTAATTTTATTGGTTCTTTTCTATGTCATCTCTTACTCTAAGGGAAGAACAGAGAAATATTTGGACATAAGAAGGATGAAATAAAAGATTAATTAAGGACATAACATCTATGAGAAATTCATGACTTATCTGGGATAATTAAATGTAGAGCACCACAAAGAACTATACGTATGGCTAGACAAAGAATACGTCCAGATTTTTTGTGGGAAAACTCTCGGAACGACAGAGGACGAGAACATTAATATGGTTCTCGGGAAGGAGGGTAGTAAGGATGGGATCAGAATTGGTTCTGCATCACGTTCAATGACAGTCTTCTGTATTAAGCGGCCCATCCACGTACGAGTCAGGCTCGGCGAGCTTGACTCGTGAGCCGGGCTCAGATATATTTCACCACACATGCGTAGCAGACTCGGCTCGTGACACCCCACCCATAGGCGAGTCTGGCTCGATGGAACCCGAGCCGAGCCAGACTCGTACGTGGATGGACCGCTTTAGCGGTACTGGACTTCCAGTTTCTGTGACCGCACAAACCGTCAAACATAAACACCATACAAAATACCACCTGTCAACAGATTGTTCATTACTAGAAACAATTTTTAATTGAAACTCTCAGCACGCACAAAAGAAAATTCCAACATAATGACCACTGTACTTTCCAATACTTACTCAAACATCCTCTGTAGTTAAGATCAGAATCTCGTGCCTGCGTCCTTGCTTGGATAGCATCTAATATCGTATCAGGACTGACCAAACCAGCTGGTCTCACAACTCCAAGCAACTCCGACAATGACATAAGTGGGAGTCGAACAACACTCAAAATGTCATTTGCATCTTCATCTGGATTGGCTTGAACCCATTCACAGACAGCACGAAAGATTTCCACCTCAGGTGCATAGAAAGAGTCACGGAGAATTAATTCTTTAACGGCACTCTGAAAAATGAGAATAATATGCAGTCACATTTAAAATATAACGTAAAAGTAGATAATTAAATACAATACACATCAGACAGATTTAATGTTAATCACCATTTAAATGCTTGTATAATGTCACTCCCTTCTTAAAAACAGCATTAATTGATCGATTTAATTTTCATACTTGTTTCCAGTTCTATTATGTTACTTGAGTTAAAATATTTTCTTACAGCAGATAGTTGCAAAAATGTTTCGTGATGAATGATGTCCGAAGCATGCCGATCCATAAAGGAAGAGCAGACTCGAGTAAGGAACTGAAGTTGGTAAAGTCGGGAGGCATCAAAGATGATGCACACATTGCGAATCTGAAGAATTTCTCGCAGGTAGTCTGAGATGGAAGCTTCCAAATCCACAAATCCGTACTGGTGAGCCAGACCTAAGATATCTAAGATAACATCTTCCTGTCATGGCAGAAACAAAAACCCAGTGAAAGGAAAAGCACATATTTTCACAGAAAGATATTTGGCTTATGAGAAATGGGACTTTCACAGCAATGAAAATGAGGAGTGTGGTCCGTAGGGTTATGACACCATAAACAATCAACTGTGCGTATCTAGGTATGGTCACTGCGTCACTGAGGGCACTTAAGAGTGAAACATAGAACCTGTTATATTAGATGTTCCAAGATGCACGCGCATCATGAGTTCGCAGAATATAGTTTAATTATTCTGCGAACTCATAACTGTAAACTCATGAATAAAACAGGCAATATCTGTCATATATTCGCAAGAATATTATTTTAAAATCAAAGTTAATTTTTTCTCATAATTTCGACAGATAATTTTTGAATATATGGATGCACAAATAATGTATTTTTTTAATACATTGGTTTTCACTACTTTGGCCATTATAAAATAAATATATTTTGTAAAAGTGTGATGAATCTCGCGGGCCGGAAAAATGTTCAAGGTGGGCCACATGCGGACCGCGGGTTGGCACCCCTGATATAGACTCACAGATGGTTACTGACATTCCTTTGAAACACTAGCAATGCCTACATGCCTATAGACATCATAATGCATTTGGAATGAAGCAATCACAATCTAATTCAAGGTTCTTTCCTGGCATTTGCCTGAAGGGACTGAGCAAAATCACAAAAAAACCTCAGTCAGGACAGCTTGTCTCTGTGGGTCAAGACATTAACCCAGAGTTGGTAACATTTCTTGTTTGAATGTAGCTGGAGGGGTGGTGAATGGTAAGGCAAAAAGAGTTGGGTAGGAGAGGTTACAACATTACAAGAATTGTGGGAGATAAGAAAAGTGGCAAACTATGTTTAAACTGTTTCCAAGCAAACAGAAACAGGAACTCAGTCCAGAGATAAGATATAAAACTGCAGTGAAATACATTATTTATAATTACAACAAACAGGAAAAACGTTAATAAATACACTCCAGAACTTACAATATTTTAATAACATACCTTTTGATTTGCAAGTGACATATGTCCTGTATAAATATATTTCAGCAATCCTTTGAAGGCTCCTAATGATGTTCCTTTCAATTCAATTTCTGACTGCTGAGATTCTCTCATGCCTCCATACAGCAGAGCCCTGTAATATCATTGTTGTAACAGTGCTTGATAATATGCACTTTACAAATCATGTATCTTAGAAGAAACCATATGGTGATTACAGATACTATAAGGGCATGCACACACTTTGAGACTGTGTTCTACTACTTTAAGAAAATGTCTTTCTGCTCATCCACAACAAACTTACTGTGAGGTTTCTCCAGCAAACCACGCCAAAGGTACTGAATATATATATTTTTGTCAAAGTTTACCAGTACAGTTGTATCATGTAATTAAAATTAGTTCAAATTTTGCATATAATTTTAAATGTTGCACAGCTGACAAGTTACCTGAAGTATTCACTACGAGCTGCCAATATGACTTTGTGGCCATGGAAACGTTGTCCATCTACAGTAAGAATCACGTCGCTGTATTCATCATTCAGAAACAGGGCACCAATATGTTCCGACAAATAGTTAATGTGTTCTACTTCGCCTGTAGGTGCATTAGGACCAAGGTGATGATGGCTGCTCATTGTGACGGTGAAATACAGAATTTGAATTCTTCTAATCAACTGTGCAATGCAAAAAAAAAATAGTATGAATGAGATTACCACTACTAAAAATCACTTTAATTATAATAATTCTATCACATTAATAACTACATTAAAGCACGAGCTGACGATTGTACTAACCGATAAAATGAAATCTGTACATATAACACACAGACAACCGTCAACGCCGTGACAGATACAAACACAACACATACACCGACATTTTTATAAACGGCAAATTCTTCAAAGAGAATGAAAACAGACGCAACCGTGGAGAAGAAGGCGCACAGCTACGATATTAGTAACTAGAAAGCAAAGTAAACAGGAGTCGGGCAAAGAGAACGAACGCAAGGCAACTTCCTTTTCCTACCGCTAGATGTACTGAAGGACTATTGAATGAGACATCTTTTGGAGACTTTGCATACTAATTGAGAAAGATTGAAAATGTCCACCTGTGCATGAGATTATTTTAAAATACGTATGCATCCAGACGTTTATCTGGATAGTTGGATGGAAAATAAATGTGAAATAATTTCATCTCGCAGATTACATAAATTCACAAAACCTTTTTTGCCTCGGTAAAAATATTCATGAAGTTTTATTATACAGAATCATATGTAAAAAAGGCAAACATAATTAATTTCTTTAAAACAAACGTAGAACTCCACAGGAAGTCATGATGGGTTTTTGAATGAGTTTCCTTTCATCCTACAGGCCTATAAGCATCCTTGTTTGCTTGGTTAGCGGTTGTCTGAACATCGCTAATGGAAATGTACGGTCATGGATTTTGTTCATGGGTTCTTAACTAGTTTCCACAGCTCCTCCCGTCAAATCTTCTCTCCTACAGCACGCAAATTGAATCGAGCTCTGGCAGATAAGGCTTTGAGATGACGAGATAGAACACACATTTCATCCTATGTATTAGCTCCATACTATCAGAAAGAAGATGCACCCAGAAAGACTTACCCTTAACCCACGGAACACTCACTTACAATTCCACACTTGCTTTCTTACATGTACGCTTTTCCCTTCAGTCCTCACGTAACACGTTTTAAAGATTCACACTAAGATTATTAAACCTCAAATAAGAACAGAACACAGGCCTATGTATATGTTTATAAATAATATAAACACAGAAAAGGGTGGAGGATGTTAATCCGAGCTGAAAGTGCTGTAAGAGATTTTCAACGTGTTTCTAAATTCGTGATTTAAAATAATAGATGAAATGCACTTAAAAAGATTAATTACTATTTAATTAAACACCAAGTCTTTAGAAAGTACGGGACCCATTGGGTAGGATGCTGGGTAAGCCCTATTAATGGACTGGACGTGGTGAAAAGAGAGCTTTTTGATTCTTCACAGAGACGTCAATTTGAGTTAAATGTAATTTCAATGGCGTTAAAGTATATTAAAACCTACGGATTTGTCGCGATTAATGTACATTATCATTTGAAGATATCCGTCTTCTGGGTTATTGCGCTGTGTAGTCTGGTCGATGTTAACCAACGTTTCAGAGGTCATACTACCTCCATCATCAGGGCGATTGAGTATGAAGATTTCTGTCTTCTGGGTTCTTGCGCTGTGAATTCATCGCCCTGATGACGGACGCAGTAACGTTGGTTAACATCGACCAGACTACACAGCGCAACAACCCAGAAGACAGAAATCTTCATACTCTGATGACGGAGGCAGTATGACCTCTGAAACGTTGGTTAACATCGACCAGACTACACAGCGCAACAACCCAGAAGACAGAAATCTTCATACTAAGAATCGCAATGATGACGGAGGCAGTATGACCTCTGAAACGTTGGTTAACATCGACCAGACTACACAGCGCAACAACCCAGAAGACGGAAATCTTCATACTCATCGCTGTGAGAACCTCAAGTCTTATACATTATCATTTATTCATCTATTAACCTCAAACAGGTAAAATTTTAATACTGTAAAAGGCTGCTAATTTGTTAAACACGTAAAAGTCTACGCTGTTACATCACAACAAAATAAATCATGTTGCCGAATTATGCTCATCACCTCCAAGCACAATTCAGTATTCCGAAATATTAAAAGGCACTTTTTCTCAGTGGCTTGCCTATTCATTTTTTTTTACTCAGCCTTTACAAACCACGCACATACACAAAAAATGTACCCCCATCGAGTCAGTCCTTAGTATGAGTGTTGAGGAGGAGGGTTGTCCAATTTACACACCTTTGTGCGCGGTCAAAGCTCCACCCGATTTTAGAGCGTCTCTCATTTTTCAATTGAAAACCATTATTCTTTTCAGAGCTTTGTATTTTGGATCACTGTGTGTTTAAAACGAGTGAACGAGTCAAATTCATCGATGTGACAGCTACTTCTGTTTGACACGTATAATCCCTTTTCAATTCAAATGGATCGCGAGATATGATTAAACATCTTATAATGTCTTTAGTAACCGTTAGATCGTATCTAATCGCTAAATTCAACTATCAGGACATTGGCTGGTCGGTACGTAATAACGTTTTACACTTTACATAAAACAAGAGTGTTAATGGAAACCTAAAAAGTGCAGCCCACTTGGTGTTCAGACACACAGGTTCAGTTTCCTAACCCTTTGAAGCAAAAGCTCGTCCAATTTGTATTTATAATTTAGTCCGTACCGCAAAGAAAACACTTCACCATTACAAATATCGCTTGGTTAATATCGTTTAAGCAAATAATCGCTGTTTACAGTAAGACTCATACGAAATCCATAATCACAAAACAAAAAATTACTGAAGATTTCTGTCTTCTGGGTTGTTGCGCCGTGTAGTCTGGTCGATGTTTACCAACGTTTCAGAGGTCATACTGCCTCCATCATCAGGGCCCAGAAGACAGAAATCTTCATAGCGTAGATAACTTAGAAAGAATCGCCCTGATGACGGAGGCAGTATGACCTCTGAAACGTTGGTAAACATCGACCAGTCTACACAGCGCAACAACCCAGAAGACAGAAATCTTCATAGCGTAGATAACTTAGAAAGAATCGCCCTGATGACGGAGGCAGTATGACCTCTGAAACGTTGGTAAACATCGACCAGTCTACACAGCGCAACAACCCAGAAGACAGAAATCTTCATAGCGTAGATAACTTAGAAAGAATCGCCCTGATGACGGAGGCAGTATGACCTCTGAAACGTTGGTAAACATCGACCAGTCTACACAGCGCAACAACCCAGAAGACAGAAATCTTCATAGCGTAGATAACTTAGAAAGAATCGCCCTGATGACGGAGGCAGTATGACCTCTGAAACGTTGGTAAACATCGACCAGTCTACACAGCGCAACAACCCAGAAGACAGAAATCTTCATAGCGTAGATAACTTAGAAAGAATCGCCCTGATGACGGAGGCAGTATGACCTCTGAAACGTTGGTAAACATCGACCAGTCTACACAGCGCAACAACCCAGAAGACAGAAATCTTCATACTCACCGCTGTGAGAACCTCAAGTCTTACAAAAAATTACTGAATGTTAAATTAGCTGGAACTCGGCTCTAAAGGATTAAACAATTTAAGAAACAGTTCAGTAACAATGATTTTTTTTATTTCTACCGAAGAACTGTAAGAAATAAGACGTAAACCACTTTCGTCATAGAAATTTCTATATTATCTCTTGCATCTTCAGACAAAACATGGAGGCGATACGTTCCTCCGTAACGTTGGTATCCTCTTACAAGACTACAAGACGTCACAACCAAAAAGACCACGATCGACACAACAACTTGCTAACACGCTTAATCGAAAACCTCTGAAGTACTGTAATAAAATTAATTTAAGCATTTCTGATTACAATAATTTAAGTTATCTCGGGTTCGATTCCCGGCGGTGCCCGAATTTATAACTTGTGTTGGGCAAGGCCGTGGTCTAGGCAACACGGAGTTTTCCTCCGTGGCATCCCAACAATTACTCCCTTCACACACAGAAGAAGGCAATGGCAAACCACTTCTGGATCATCTGCCAAGAACGTATATGAACAGGTCCCAGTCCGAGAAAAGGATTGAAGGATCCTGTTCATATGGACCTGTAGTCAGACAGAACACTAAATAAATAAAATAAATCTTCTTCTGCGGTTTGTCACTATAAATTAATGTAAATGCAATTCCATTGGCTAACCTCTGTAGACCACTACTTATCACACAGAGTCTATGAGACGAAGTCACTGAAAAAGTAGGCGATTTCAATGCAAGTTTTATTTCACGAAATGAATAGAAGGGATGACAAGATAAATAGTTATTTGACAAGGGAGCATTTGTCAGACGCGGCGCACAGTCAATTTTTGACGCAGGATCTACATCGTTATTAGTGATAAATGTGTGTGTGCTTCCCGTCGTGAAAGGGAATCAATCGGGTATGGAAACATTGCACTTATCAGAAACTTCCCATGGCTAGAATATATGTTGGTGATTCACCTTTACTTCAACTACTCCAGTATGCGGGAATAATTTAACAACTAAAACTATGAAATTTACAACCAGACCTGCATCTGAACTCCAGAAAAATTAAATAAAACTTAATAACTCTCGGTGGTGCCACGGTGGTCTAGCGGTTAGAAGGCTGGCCTTGTAATCCTGGGGTCTCGGGTTCGATTCCCGGCGGTGCCCGAATTTATAACTTGTGTTGGAAAAGGCCGTGATCTAGGCAACACGGAGTTTGCCTCCGTGGCATCCCAACAATTACTCCATGCACACACAGAAGAAGGCAATGGCAAACCACTTCTGGATCATCTGCCAAGAACGTATATGAAAAGGTCCCAGTCCGAGAAAAGGATGGAAGGATCCTGTATTTATAACTTGTGTTGTGCAAGGCCGTGGTCTCGGCAACACGGAGTTTTCCTCCGTGGCATCCCACCAATTACTCCATTCACACACAGAAGAAGGCAATGGCAAACCACTTCTGGATCATCTGCCAAGAACGTATATGAACAGGTCCCAGTCCGAGAAAAGGATGGATGGATCCTGTTCATATGGACCTGTCGTCAGACAGAACACTACAAATAAA